CTGTCTTGGAAAGCCACTGGCATGTATCCAAACAAGCTTTGCTTGTATGTATATGAAGTTGATAAAGGTTAAACCTACGTTGTAGGGAACACTTAAAATGATGAAAGCTTGGAAACTTCATATATAGGGTCCATCAGGTTCTAAAAATCTTTATTACATGAACACACTTAACTAATTGTATGATTGGAAAAAAAAAAAAACAACAATAAAAACAGAATAGTAAGGAAAAAAATAAAGCTAGAGACTATAGTACACAGCCCTGTTCTTTAACAACAAGTAAAAACCCACTATTGTGAATGGAATACAAAATGTGTCATGGACCAAATAATCCTACCCTTCACAAGAATGCAGGTTATGACTTAAAATACACAGCTCTCAAATCTGACTTGAAAGAGATCTTTGAAGGTTGGTTCTGAAGGAACAAATAGCTCCATTACTAAATTAATCTAGTTTTCATATGTCTCATCTTTTACAAACCTCTGACAAAGTTTGGATTCACATTTGTATGGAGAGTTTTGCTGGAACCAGAACTGGGATTACAAAAGCAGAAGTAAGTTTTAGCTGTAATATCACATCTTTTGCCACTGAACACACTGTGGATGGAAAGAGCTGTAATAAATAGCACAGAATGTTCCAAGGACTGTTAGAGATGAAAAATGTTGGGCTTTGGTTTTTTTTATCCTGCTTGGACTAAGATTTGTAAGCACAGACAAAAAAGTGAGCAAGTCGCAGCTGATTCAGACAGAAGTAGCTTTCAGCTCCAAACTGAAATGCAGTGGGGTTTTGCTGAACGCTTTAGTCACCTTTATTCTGAAGCAGAGGCAACTTCCTTTCTCTAGCTGCTGCAACAAGAACAGATCACAGCATGACAGATTGCATATGGAGCTACAATGCAGTTTGATAATTTTCACTTTAAGTAATTTAAATCTTAAGACTGAACAAAAAAAATATTCAAAAATTTCCCAAAAAAGAGTTTAGAGAACTTCATACTGAGGAAGAGGGGGAAACATCATTAGTTGTCCTATATCAGCATTTTCAGGCATGCAGGGGGCCAAGTCCTCCATACTTGGAGGCTATTTCCAGCTCTAGGACTCTCACTCCCATTTTCATTACCTGATACCACCATCTGACATGCCACAGATTTCCCAGCTCTCTTCAAAGTGGTTTAAAAAATGAATTCACCAGCGCTTGTCTCAAAGATTTGGTCAGGTTTGACAATAAATAGTACCTCATGTTGCAATAACAGTGATTTAAAAAAATATATATGCATCTAAATTACATACATATGTAAATAAAAACTCCATTAACGGGGTAAAACTTGGATTATGTATTGGTGCCTCTGCTTTGCAGTAGTGTTTCTAAAGCAGGAACTGTAACTAGAAGATTAGAGGAGTTATGGAAAAACTGAGTTTTCAGTAGAAAAAAAGATCCACTGGCTTATTTTAGAAATTATTTAACTGGCAGTTGCTACACTTGGCCTTTTATCTGTTCCACAGCATAAACTCCAACAGTCTAACAAACTCCTTCTTTCTTTCACTGCTGGCCAGTTCAAAGTGTGCATTTTCCAGTGACTATGTAATTCAGTTTTGGCCTGATCTCATAGCTGCCACTCCAGCAGACCCATTAAAAATAAAAATCATACATATCTAGAACTTAAACTGCTGCCCAAAGCAGAACTATGTGATTGCAGAAGCAAGCTACACCACCTTATAAATGGGATCTGGTGTACAGCATCTCTTTTACAGAGAAATGCTGTGGAGTCTTAACAACTAGAAATACACACAGTTTAAGAGCATTTAAACTCCAGAAAAACAACACTGAGGATCAGTACAAGAATATCAGATTCTCCACACACCATTTCTGATTGCAGCTGAAGCCAGAAAAATATAATAAATTGATGCAACTGTAATACTCAGCAAAAGCACTGTTCTACTGGTGTTCTCGCATGCAATTCTATTGGACTTCTCTGGAACAAACCATTTTCTTTTCCCTTTTCTTTTTCTTTCTTTTCTCTTTTTTTTTCTTTTCTTTTCTCTTTTCTTTCCTTTTCTTTTTTTTTCAGAAATTTCAGGGTTTGATGTCTGTGGCAGTTTATGGACTTGGACTTGGAATACTGCTAATTCTAACTGAAATTTTGATGTTATTATATTGGGATCTAGTTTTACCATCTCAAAGTGGTTTCTGGTTTTCTGATTCTGGTTCCTGTTTTTGGAGCCTTTTGGGTATTGAAGTATTTAACTATTTACTGGGCATAATCGTTCTTGTAATCATTGCCTTACTTTGTTGCAGTTGGAAGTTAGCTTTCCCTGTATGTGTCTGGTGCTGTGTGCAAGATGGGTGCTCATCAAAAGAGCCCATTAGGGTGCATACTGGCACATTAGAAGGAATTAAGAAGTCCCTCAGGCAGTAATTTGAATAAGAAAAGCTTGGTAAAGTATTGTAATCAGTGGTGGCCTTTGTATAGGTTAGGCAGAAGGGAGAAGTGGCCTGAGAATGGATCTCTGGACTATGAGACATGTTACACTTAATGTTATTTCTAAGGAGGGAAGGAAAATTTTTATTTTGAGGCCCAACCAGATAATAGGAACATTTGGGAGATATTCCTGTCTTATCCTTGGAGATTGGAGGAACATCTCCAAGATATGACACCTTGGAGAGCATGTAACAAAAGATGGAGTCCTACTCCCACAGAAGCTCGTGGGAAACCTCCCAGTGACTCCCGAGAGGTCAAGGATCCCACCTCAAGTCCAGCACAACCTCTAGAGAACACATCTGGCCAGATGGAAAGAGGAGAACTGTGATAAGGAATTTTACAGGCTCAGTTAGGGAGCCACTGAGACCAAGACTGCCCGAAGCACAGGAAACAGCAGAGAGGGGGAAGGAACAATAAACAGATGGCACCACATGTACATGTTTAACCTTAGATTCAAATTTCTTTCTCTGTTTTTCACTACCTTTTATATGAGCAAGAAGGCAGTGCTGTTTTCTCCTCTACCTCTAAATTTCATGCGGTCTCTAGGCACCTAGCACAGAACTTAGATTCTACTAAATGAGTAAATTTACCTCTTACAGGCAGCAAAATTATTAAGCGGGGGAGACTGACCTCCAGAAATACCAGCATATCTAGTCCAATCAATTTAACAGCACACCACAGGACCTCTTTCTGCTGGTTGTATTGTATCCTGCATACTGGCAAATGATGCTTTTCCAAGTAATAGCCTTCTTGGGCAGCAGTCATGCAGTAGGAGGGGTGACTTAAAACCCAAAGTTTTGGACTCAGAAAGAGGTCTTCCTACACAGAGTTACTTGAAGACTGTTTGTGTATCATAGATGCAGCCAGAAAACCCTAAATAATTCGTAGTTTCTTACCCCAGTAGTATTTCTAAAAGATTTTTACTTCCTTTAACCTTCATGCTTGAAACCTTTTGGTTTTTTAGTGTTTGCTGGTGGAGCTCACACCACCCCTTGCCACTGCAGCGTATGAGGTGGAGTGGTCGGCTCTATGGCAGCAAATTTGGACAGTGAGCCCCAATACATTTGGTCCCTTGGAAGCCACTGCCTCCCCTCACCCGTGTTTTCGCCCAAATCATGACTTGTGGAGCTGAAGCAACAACTCTAAGGCACGACTGAACCAGCGGGGCAGGGCAGCGCCAAAATCAGCAGCTCTGGCAAGTCCTTACCCAAGGAGACCTGTCACCGCCCCCAGTCCTGGCAGGGCCGGTGCCCCTCTCCTGCCCAAAGAGCTGTGCCCCCGGGGGACGACTCCCGAGGAGGCCCAGGCGTTGTGGCTGCTGCTGCTCCTGTGCACAGCCTGCTGCTCTTGTCTGTGGCTTGGGCAGCAGCGACCGCGCAGCCCTGCCCGAGGAGCCCCGCGCCCTCCCCGTGCTGGCAGCACCTCCGCGGGCCCAGAGCTCTGGCTCAGCGGGCTCTGGGACACAGCCCCGTGGGCTGGGCAGCCGCGGGGGCCCGGGCTGGCCCACGGCCCTGCCCCTGCCCCTGCCCCTGGCCGGCAGCTGCCGCAGTCTGGCCTAGGAGAGGGACTGCGACAGCAAGTGGGTTCGAGCGAAGTAGAGGATGGAAACGCACCCTGTCACGCAGTGGAGCTATCACCGTGCTATCACAACTTTATTGAAGCAGGGCTTGGACTTCTATAGGGGAGGGGGAGGAAGGTGCTGGAAAAAAGGGCGGAGCATGGGACTGACATGGGAAACAGCCAACCAGGGAAGGAAGGAGGGAACATGGAATCAGCGGGAGCCAACGGGGAGAGTATCTGCAATGCAGCAGATGGGAACCAACAGGAAAAATGGGATATCCGTGAGAGGAAAATACATTGAAATTGGAAAAACTTGGAATAAAACTGTCTGAACAAGTTCTTTGGTAAACCCCGGTAACAATAAAGCAGTCTTTTTCTGTACTAGTCTTCTCTCGGTAACAGTGTCACATAGTATCGATCCCAGGCAGGTGCTTAGCCATTTGTGCTTCTTCCTGCACCTGCCTCAGCTCCTGTTGCCCTATTTGCAACAGTTCTTTTTCTCGGCAGGTGCCTTCCTCAGGCAGCACCCAGCGGTCGTGCCCCGCCAGGGACCCCTTGCCCTCCTTGTCCCCAGCCAGGCCAGCCTGGCCCCCTTGGCGCTGTCCCCACCCTCCCGCCCAGGCCTCCAGCCCTTCTGCTGCAGGCACGGCAGACGCCCCGGGCAAGCGCCACAGCAGCCGGCCAACACCTGGGCAGGACACAGATGGCACTTCCTGCCTGGGACAGGGCTTCTGGCCATCTCCAAGGACCTTTGGCTCAGGGATCCCCACAGCTCCAGCCTTTGCCCAGCTGCTCTGCTGCAAGCTTGGAGGCTTCAGCACAGCACCACCAAAGGCCAAGGGGACTTAGGGCTCTTTCTCTTCTCACTGCACACCTGGGCAAGCGTTGCTGAGCACAAGGACCCTTTTTCCCCTCTTCCCCAATGCCCTGTGCAAACTGGGCACCAAAAAACACTCCTGAGCCTCTGTGTGTGGCAAGAGGAATTTTATATTCCTGTGCTGGACTAGAGGGAAGTGCTTCCACAGCGGGGGTCTTCCTCGCAGGCTCACGTGGCCCCAGCAGACACCGCTTCCCACATCAAGCCTCCCCAGAGCTCAGGCAGCACAGCCACAAACTGCCCCGCAGAGCAGGACAGCTCTTGCAGACCCCGCACAGCCAGTCTGGCGGCTGCTGCGGCTGGGGGGATGCAGCTCTCTGAGCAGCTTCGAGCACTTTGCAGCTCTGAAGCGCCAGGCTTGAGATGGCGGGGCTGGTGTCGTTCCTCAGACCCTGAAGAGCTGCAACAGGGAGGAACAGAGCCAAGGTCAGAGCCTGGATCTGTGGCGACCCAAGAAGCTCCTCCTGCCAGGACCATCCCACCCAGTTCTTGCCATGGCCAGCAGGGAGCAGGGCCCAACGGGATCAGCCGGAAGGCGCTGGCCACCAATACCCCCCGTGCCCCTGAAATCTCTCTCCGCTCTGCCCAAGCTGTCTCTCGTCCGTGCAGGGAGCAGAGCCCTCCACAGCCGGGACAGGATTGCAGCTCCCTGCCCAGGCTCCGTGCTCCTCCCGCCAGCCCCCGCTGACACCGCGCTGCCCTCACTCACTCTCGATGATGTCCTGCAGCTCTTCAGGCTGTCCCCGCACGTACCTCCCGGCCATCCCTGGGAACACAGATCCTGTCAGGGCCCCGGCGGCACAGCTCCCCCCCGGTGGCGCTGCCGGCCCGGCCACGCACCCTCCTGCCCTGGCAGAGCTGAGCCCGGGGCCGTCCCGCCTCGGGACGCCCCAGGGCTGGGCTGGCACAGGGCGGCAGCCACCAGGGCACTCGGGGCTCCCCAGCACATCCCTGGGCCGCATCCTGCTGCCGCTGCAGCAGCCGGGGCTGGGGCCCAGCTGCAGCGGGGCGGGGAGGGACCTTGTGGCTCACCCATGAACCTGAGGGCCGCCTCTCGCAGGGGCTCCTGTGGGCTCTCCAGGTATGGCAAAGCCTGGCGCAGGTACTCGGCCACTCGACTCCGCTCCTTTTCCAGCTGCAGAGAGAGGCAGGGCAGGAGGGAAGGGTTGGTTGGGGCTCTGCCCCTTGGCCGGGAGCTGCCTGCGCCCAGCACTGGCCTCCCCTGCCCGCACGCCCCAGGCAAGGCAGCAGTGTGTGGGGTGCAGGCTGCTGTCCCGCAGGCGGCTGCAGCAGTGGGCAGGGGCACAGTGCCAGCCCCACACTCTGAGCGTCGGGGACTGGGGGCTGCTCCAGCCTGGGGCTGGGGCTTCATGGCCGTCCTTACCAGGCACTTGCTGAACTTCCACAGCTCCTTCCTCTTCACTACCTTCTTCAGGTCCTTTCTCTTCAGGAAGCCGGCCACACAAAGCAGCGCTTCCCCAGAGGCCTGCAGAGCAACAAGCACTGGGAGATGGCACCACGGTCCAGGGCAAAGGACCCGTGTCCCTGGAGCAAGGCCAGCAGGAGGCTGGAGCCCATCAGGTGCCAGGGCAGGAGGCAGCCCAGCCCCCTGCCACGGGGACACCAGAGCCCACAAGTGCTCACCTCTGCCACTCTCTGGTTCTCATCGTGGCAGTGGAAGAAGAGTGGAAGCAGGCTCTGGCGCACGTGTGGCTTCAGGGCCTTTTTTCCCTCTTTCTCCCCTGTCACCATCACCCCACGGAAGAGGAGGATGGAGGACAGCTGCACACTGCTGTCAGCCTGGTGGAAATAAAAAGACCTCAGCACTGGCTTCTCCAGGCCCACCTGGGCACAGGCCTGAAAATCCACAAGGCACAAAGTTTCCTGCCAGCACCCGTTGCCTGTGGCTGCGGGGCACAGAGCCTTACGTTGTCGAAGAGCGGCTGCAGCGCCTCAGCCAGCTGCAGGGCGGTGGGGCTGGAGAGCTGGATGTCTTTATCGGAGAACAGAAAGCCGAGGACGCTGACAGTCCTCCGGACCAGCTCTCCATCTGCGTCCCACAGGAGCTGCACGAGGCTTTCAGTCAGGCTGCCCATTCTTTTGGCCTGTGAGGAACACAAGGCTGTGCTGGGAAGCCACGAAGGGCTGCAGCGCCAACCCCGCTCCGGCGGGGCAGCCCCACGTGCTGCCGCGGGGCCCAGAGCCCAAAGGCCTGTCCCGAGGGACTCGGGCAGCTGAGCGGGGAGGCAGCAGAGCTGGCAGCAGCTGTGCTCCCCAGCCCCAGCATTGCAGCGGCCAACCGCCCCTTCCTCACCGTCACGGCATCCTGGCTGAGCACCACCAGGCCCCTCAGCACTTGGCGGCGCATCTCTGGGCACTCGCTCCACAGGTGCCTTGAAAGGATCTGCAGGACGCTTTCGCCGCACTCCCTCACGTCCAGGTAGACCAGGGCCTGAAAGGCACGGAGCGGTGACGGGCTGCCCGGCCGGCAGCAGCCCGCACCCGCACAGGGCTGGGCCCAGGCAGCAGCACAGGGCGCGGCACCGTCCCGGGCAGCCCTGCCCAAAAGCAGCAGTGGCTCTGCAGAGCCCCTGGGCTCCCCGCCCTGCGCAGGCCACTCGCCCGCTCCTCTGTGCCACCCAGCCCTGGCATTCCTTGGCCTTGAGGAGCCATGAGGGAAGCGCGAGTGCTGGCAGCAGAAGGACCCAAAACACAGCTGGGGACAAGTGTCACCCCAGCAGCAAGGGGCCAAGGGCACACAGTGGAGCCCCCCCTCTGCCCCAGCTCCCTTCACTGGGCTTCCCCCGCAGATGCGGCTGCACAAGGCCAGAGAGGTGGAGGCAGCTCGGCCAGGCAGCGCTCGCCATCAGGCTCACCTCCACAAGGAACGCCATGGCAGGGAGCTCCCAGGGACACATCTCCTCGCTGAGCAGCTCCAGGAGGCAGCACACAATGCTGCAACACCAGGGGGTGCAGACAGAGCCCATCTCCCTGGCAGGAGGGAAACAAGAACTGTCATGCCTGAGCTGGCTGGGCAAACCTCTGCCGGGACTCACTCCCAGAGGCCTGGTCTTTCCCCAGCACCCCGGCAGGGGACCAGGGCACTCTGGCAGGCGGCTCCTCCTGTGCACCCGCCTCTCCCAGCCTTTGCCACTCTGCTCGGCCATCCCTGGGTGACAAGGCCCTCCGGCCCATGACCACGGGCACTGCGTGGGGTGTCCTGTGCAGAGGGCAGAAATGACAGGGGCAGCGGGGACAAGGGGGTCTCACCTGGCCAGCAGACCCACTGCGTAGTGGTGGGTGTCGGCGTTGAGGAGCGTGTCCCAGCCACACTTGCGCTCCAGTGCCACCACCACGCTCTCGCAGCGCAGACGGTGCAGCAGGGCTTTGAGGGTCAGCACTGCAAACCTGCGTGCAGAGCAAAGCCCAGGTCATGCTGGGAGCCCTGACCAGCCCCGAAGGTGTGGCAGGGACAGGAGGAGGGGGATGGAGCACCTGTTGGGCTTGGTGGGAAGGCTGCCTTGCTTCCGGCACTCCCTCCACAGGGTGTCAACCTCCTCCGGCATCTGCACTGTGCTGAAGAACACTTGGAAGAGCAGATGCACAAAGAGGTTGGGGAAACACTCCCTCACTGCCCGTGTGCAGCAGAGCAGATGGAGGATCTTCCAGAGTGCCACGGTTGCCTGCAAAAAGGAAACCAGCCGGAGACAGCGCTCAGTGCCCGGACATCCATGGGGCAGGGCCCGAGCGTGGCAGGGAGAGGCCAGGGGAGACACAGCAGGAGCAGCCGGCCTGGTGCCCCTGAACCTGCCCCAAAGCCAGCTTGCCAGCCCAGTGCCTGAGGCAGGGAGATGCAGTGCTGGGGGAGGATGAAGAGCTGCCGGGGAGGTGACGTGGCGCTGAGCAAAGGCCGGTTCCAGAAACTCACAGCCAGGGCAAAGACTTCCGTTTCATCCCCATCAGAGGTGCGCATGCTGCAGGCTGGCCAGCTTCCCAGGACGAGGGCAAGGATCGTCAGCACCGACTCTGCAGTAGTTCTCAAGGAGATGATTGCTCTCCACATGCTCACAGCAGCTCTGGGGGGTCAAAGCTCTGTGTCAGCGGGCTCTCAGCCACAGTGCCACGGCCTGGGCACTTCCCGCTCCCAGCTGACAGAGCCACAGCACCCTCAGGAGCAAGGAGGGCACATGGGAGCAGGATCCGTGGCTGGCATGCCAGAGGCTCCGGGAACTCTTGGCCTGACAGACACCTGGGACGGGCTCTACAGGATGATGGGCTGGTGAGCCCTGGAGGCAGAGGGGCCCCATACCTGTCACAGCATGGGGCAGAGCGCAGCAGAGTCACCACCACATCCACGGGGTGTGCCTCGACCAGAGCCAGAAGAGTCCTGTCTAGGCTGCGCTCAGCACACACATTGGCCGTGAGCCACCGGTGGATGTACCTGACGAAGGCTGGCACCTGCAGGGGGCACGGGGCAGACTTGGAGAGCTGCCAGAGCCAGCAACTTGCCCGGCTTCCCCCGACAAGCGCTTCCCTTCCCACCACTCTGGACTGGCCTCAAAGGCTGAGGGGGCCCAGCGGAGCCGGCGTGAGGGCCCGCACAATCCCTGCAGGGCTGGAGCCCTGGCCACAGGCCGCTTACTTTCTCGGCACTGGAGACACCATTCTCCACAAGCAAATCCAGCAGGGCAGCGCTGGTCTCGGCATTGCAGAGGTCAGAGTTTGCCATGCCCCCAGCACCCATGGCGATGGTCTCTTCCCTCCAAATGCACCTGGTGAATTGGCAAACCATCTGCAGGAGAAAGGCAGGAAGAGAGGGATGTGCCCTGGAGAGCTCCGACAGCGGTGCCAGGCTGAGCAGGGACAGCAGGCCCAGCCCAGGAGGCCGTGGCTGCAGGTACCTGTGCTGCCCTGCGGAAGCGGCCCCGGGCGCGGTCCTGCTCCTGTGTCCGGTCCCGGCCTGGCTCTGGCAAAGAGCGAGCGCGGTCAGAGCTGAGGGGCTGCGGGACAGGCCGCAGAACACGGCCCAGCCCTGCGCTCCACAGGCAGGGCCAGCCCCGGGATGGCCAGTGCATGGAGCTGCCGGGGGATCAGCCCCGGGCCCTCCTTCCCCCTCCCTTTCCTTGGCCCTGTCCACAAGGGATGGGATGGCAAGAGGCCCATCTGGCTGCAGCCACCAGCCCTGGGGCCCAGCTCTGCCACTCACCCTCCTGCAGGGGCTGGGGCTGCTCCGCCTCCTCCGGCTGCTGGGATGGGGCAGCTCCAGGGCCTTCCTCCTCCCCCTCCTTCAGCCAGGCCAGCTTGGGCACCCTGGGGGGTCTCTGCTCTGTGTCTCTCTCTGGCTTCATGGCTTCCTGCGGGAGAGATGGCACGGAAAAGCTCTGGCTCACCAAGTCCTGCACAAGTGCCTTGAAGGCACCTGTAACACAGCAGGTTTGGGAACGCTCCGGCTCATCAAGTCCCAAAGTCTGGCCTGGAGGGGCCTTGGGGGAGTTGGAGAGCTGCCAGAGGGAGCAATATCCCCCAGAAGCGCTTCCCTTCCCACCACACTCTGCTGGCCTCAAAGGCTGAGGGGGCCCAGCAGACCTGGCTTGAGGGGCCACACAATCCCTACCCACAGGCTGCTTACTTCCACAGAGACAACTCTCTCCCCAGCAATGTCCAGACCAGGAGCACTGGGCAGGCACTGAACGGCTGGGATGTCAGTGCCTGCCTCGCCCTCGGACGTTGCGCCGTCAGCCTTGGCCGTGAGCTCACTGGGCGTGGGGTCAGGCTGTGCCATGACCTCGCTTGGTGCGATCCTGGTCTTTGGACGCCGAATGCCCAGGAATTTCCGAACGGCCTACAGGAAAACAAAGGGCAGGGAAGAGCGGGATGTGCCCTGGAGAGCTCCGACAGCGGTGCCAGGCTGAGCAGTGGCAGCAGGCCCAGCCCAGGAGGCCGTGGCTGCAGGTACCTGTGCTGCCCTGCGGAAGTGGCCACGGGCACGGTCCTGTTCTTCTGTCCGGTCCCGGCCTGGATCTGGCAAAGAGCGAGCGCGGTCAGAGCTGAGGGGCTGCGGGACAGGCCGCAGAACACGGCCCAGCCCTGCGCTCTACAGGCAGGGCCAGCCCCGGGATGGCCAGTGCATGGAGCTGCCGGGGGATCAGCCCCGGGCCCTCCTTCCCCCTCCCTTTTCCTGGCCACGTCCACAGGGGATGAGATGGCAAGAGGCCCATCTGGTTGCAGCCACCAGCTCTGGGGCCCAGCTCTGCCACTCACCCTCCTGCAGGGGCTGGGGCTGCTCCACCTCCTCAGGCTGCTGTGCAGGGGCAGTCCCAGGGCCTTCCTTCTTCTTCTTCCTCCTGAGAAACCTGCACAGGCTGAAGCGTCTCTCCGCCATCCTACAGTCGGGCCTCAAGGGCAGCCGCCGCAGGGATTGGAGACGCCAGGGAAAAGCTCCGGGGCACGAAGCCCCAGACAATGGCCTCGAGGGCACCTGCCGCAGGGCCTGGAGACTCCTCGCCGAAGCTCCGGGTCACCAAGTCCCGCGGTCTGGCCTCGAGGGCACCTGAAAGATAGAAAAGCCTACGCAACACGAGTCCTGCAGTGCGGCCTCAAGGGCAGCTGCCGCAGGGATTGGAGACACCTCGCAAAAGCTCCGTGTCACCAAGTCCCGCGGTCTGGCCTCGAGGGCACTCGCAGCACAAAAACGCCACCAAAACGCTCCGGATCAGAAAAGAACGAGTTGGCTGCACGGGGGCTCCGCACAGCACCGCTCTGTCCCGTCTGTCCCGTCGCACGCTCCGAGGAGCACTGAGGCGTGGTCACCTCACCACCACTACTAAGTCATCACGTGTCACAAAGGGCCCTGTGACGCCCTGCCCCGTGCCATCCCACCGTGTCACAAAGGGCCCTGGGACACACTGCCACGTGCCCTGGGGCCTCCCCTAGCCCGGCCAACCTGCCCCAGGCGGGAAGGAGTCCATTCTCCAAAGCATCCAAGACAGCTGGACACGAACTTTAGGCACAGCTGAAAAACTAAGCAAACCCTCCCCTGCTGTGCCTGCCCACGGCAGCAGAAGGAGACCCCTCGGCTGCCGAGGCAGTCGCAGCGGGAAGGCCACGGGGCCTCCACACGAGCTGGCACGGGCTCCTCGGGAGAAGTGCCGGCTGGTGGCCCTCCCAAACACACAGAAGGAATGTGAGGGCAAGGTGTCTTAGTTTAAAACGATTACAACGTAGAAATCAAGAAACTTCCGGTGGAAGTGTGGAAAAGGAAAAGAAACAGCTTTTTATTAACCAAATCTGAATAAACAACAAATGGTGCAATCAAAACCTTTCAGAAGAAACAAAGCAAAGTCCCAGCTCCCCAGGTGGAGGGAGAAACCCGCAGCAACCTGGGGAGTGGGGTGGGAAGGCGGGACTGTCCCGGCACTTCAACAGCTGCTCGCAGCCACCTGTGCTCGCAGCCAGCACTGGAAAAAATAAAAAAAGTCCTTTTTCCCACAGGCCGTCTGAAGGCAGAATACCTCGCTCTGAGATGGCTTGCTCTCTTTCTTGTAGTCGTTCTCCACGAGGTGTCCCGTGGGGAAAAAAAACTTCCTCTCAGGCAAAGAAAAAGCAGGCAGCCAAAACCGGACTCCCCGCTCTGTCCGGTGCACACCAAAACCAAAGAAACCCCCCAAACGACAGACTCCCGGCCGTGCCTGTGGCAACCGTGCTTCCCCGGGAGACCTCCCCCTCTCCCCGCTCCCGCGCTGCCCAGCGCCTGCGGCTCCGCTCTGCCCCCACCCCATCCCCGACTCCCCCCATCCCAGAAGAAACAGACTGGGGGGGCGAGGACGAGGTACCCTAGGGAAAAAATTCCCACATCTCCTTTCAAACCTATGACACAAGGGCACCAATGCTGCTCCCACCCCATTGGCCAGGGCTGCGCCAAAATCAGCAGCTCTGGCAAGTCCTTACCCAAGGAGACCTGTCACCGCCCCCAGTCCTGGCAGGGCCGGTGCCCCTCTCCTGCCCAAAGAGCTGTGCCCCCGGGGGACGACTCCCGAGGAGGCCCAGGCGTTGTGGCTGCTGCTGCTCCTGTGCACAGCCTGCTGCTCTTGTCTGTGGCTTGGGCAGCAGCGACCGCGCAGCCCTGCCCGAGGAGCCCCGCGCCCTCCCCGTGCTGGCAGCACCTCCGCGGGCCCAGAGCTCTGGCCCAGCGGGCTCTGGGACACAGCCCCGTGGGCTGGGCAGCCGCGGGGGCCCGGGCTGGCCCACGGCCCTGCCCCTGCCCCTGCCCCTGGCCGGCAGCTGCCGCAGTCTGGCCTAGGAGAGGGACTGCGACAGCAAGTGGGTTCGAGCGAAGTAGAGGATGGAAACACACCCTGTCACGCAGTGGAGCTATCACCGTGCTATCACAACTTTATTGAAGCAGGGCTTGGACTTCTATAGGGGAGGGGGAGGAAGGTGCTGGAAAAAAGGGCGGAGCATGGGACTGACATGGGAAACAGCCAACCAGGGAAGGAAGGAGGGAACATGGAATCAGCGGGAGCCAACGGGGAGAGTATCTGCAATGCAGCAGATGGGAACCAACAGGAAAAATGGGATATCCGTGAGAGGAAAATACATTGAAATTGGAAAAACTTGGAATAAAACTGTCTGAACAAGTTCTTTGGTAAACCCCGGTAACAATAAAGCAGTCTTTTTCTGTACTAGTCTTCTCTCGGTCACAGTGTCACATAGTATCGATCCCAGGCAGGTGCTTAGCCATTTGTGCTTCTTCCTGCACCTGCCTCAGCTCCTGTTGCCCTATTTGCAACAGTTCTTTTTCTCGGCAGGTGCCTTCCTCAGGCAGCACCCAGCGGTCGTGCCCCGCCAGGGACCCCTTGCCCTCCTTGTCCCCAGCCAGGCCAGCCTGGCCCCCTTGGCGCTGTCCCCACCCTCCCGCCCAGGCCTCCAGCCCTTCTGCCGCAGGCACGGCAGACGCCCCGGGCAAGCGCCACAGCAGCCGGCCAACACCTGGGCAGGACACAGATGGCACTTCCTGCCTGGGACAGGGCTTCTGGCCATCTCCAAGGACCTTTGGCTCAGGGATCCCCACAGCTCCAGCCTTTGCCCAGCTGCTCTGCTGCAAGCTTGGAGGCTTCAGCACAGCACCACCAAAGGCCAAGGGGACTTAGGGCTCTTTCTCTTCTCACTGCACACCTGGGCAAGCGTTGCTGAGCACAAGGACCCTTTTTCCCCTCTTCCCCAATGCCCTGTGCAAACTGGGCACCAAAAAACACTCCTGAGCCTCTGTGTGTGGCAAGAGGAATTTTATATTCCTATGCTGGACTAGAGGGAAGTGCTTCCACAGCGGGGGTCTTCCTCACAGGCTCACGTGGCCCCAGCAGACACCGCTTCCCACATCAAGCCTCCCCAGAGCTCAGGCAGCACAGCCACAAACTGCCCCGCAGAGCAGGACAGCTCTTGCAGGCCCCGCACAGCCAGTCTGGCGGCTGCTGCAGCTGGGGGGATGCAGCTCTCTGAGCAGCTTCGAGCACACGGCAGCTCTGAAGCGCCAGGCTTGAGATGGCGGGGCTGGTGTCGTTCCTCAGACCCTGAAGAGCTGCAACAGGGAGGAACAGAGCCAAGGTCAGAGCCTGGATCTGTGGCGACCCAAGAAGCTCCTCCTGCCAGGACCATCCCACCCAGTTCTTGCCATGGCCAGCAGGGAGCAGGGCCCAACGGGATCAGCCGGAAGGCGCTGGCCACCAATACCCCCCGTGCCCCTGAAATCTCTCTCCGCTCTGCCCAAGCTGTCTCTCATCCGTGCAGGGAGCAGAGCCCTCCACAGCCGGGACAGGATTGCAGCTCCCTGCCCAGGCTCCGTGCTCCTCCCGCCAGCCTCCGCTGACACCGCGCTGCCCTCACTCACTCTCGATGATGTCCTGCAGCTCTTCAGGCTGTCCCCGCATGTACCTCCCGGCCATCCCTGGGAACACAGATCCTGTCAGGGCCCCGGTGGCACAGCTCCCCCCCGGCGGCGCTGCCGGCCCGGCCACGCACCCTCCTGCCCTGGCAGAGCTGAGCCCGGGGCCGTCCCGCCTCGGGACGCCCCAGGGCTGGGCTGGCACAGGGCGGCAGCCACCAGGGCACTCGGGGCTCCCCAGCACATCCCTGGGCCGCATCCTGCTGCCGCTGCAGCAGCCGGGGCTGGGGCCCAGCTGCAGCGGGGTGGGGAGGGACCTTGTGGCTCACCCATGAACCTGAGGGCCGCCTCTCGCAGGGGCTCCTGTGGGCTCTCCAGGTATGGCAAAGCCTGGCGCAGGTACTCGGCCACTCGACTCCGCTCCTTTTCCAGCTGCAGAGAGAGGCAGGGCAGGAGGGAAGGGTTGGTTGGGGCTCTGCCCCTTGGCCGGGAGCTGCCTGCGCCCAGCACTGGCCTCCCCTGCCCGCACGCCCCAGGTAAGGCAGCAGCGTGTGGGGTGCAGGCCGCTGTCCCGCAGGCGGCTGCAGCAGTGGGCAGGGGCACAGTGCCAGCCCCACACTCTGAGCGTCGGGGACTGGGGGCTGCTCCAGCCTGGGGCTGGGGCTTCATGGCCGTCCTTACCAGGCACTCGCTGAACTTCCACAGCTCCTTCCTCTTCACTATCTTCTGCAGGTCCTTTCTCTTCAGGAAGCCGGCCACACAAAGCAGCGCTTCCCCAGAGGCCTGCAGAGCAACAAGCACTGGGAGATGGCACCACGGCCCAGGGCAAAGGACCCGTGTCCCTGGAGCAAGGCCAGCAGGAGGCTGGAGCCCATCAGGTGCCAGGGCAGGAGGCAGCCCAGCCCCCTGCCACGGGGACACCAGAGCCCACAAATGCTCACCTCTGCCACTCTCTGGTTCTCATCGTGGCAGTGGAAGAAGAGTGGAAGCAGGCTCTGGCGCACGTGTGGCTTCAGGGCCTTTTTTCCCTCTTTCTCCCCTGTCACCATCACCCCACGGAAGAGGAGGATGGAGGACAGCTGCACACTGCTGTCAGCCTGGTGGAAATAAAAAGACCTCAGCACTGGCTTCTCCAGGCCCACCTGGGCACAGGCCTGAAAATCCACAAGGCACAAAGTTTCCTGCCAGCACCCGTTGCCTGTGGCTGCGGGGCACAGAGCCTTACGTTGTCGAAGAGCGGCTGCAGCGCCTCAGCCAGCTGCAGGGCGGTGGGGCTGGAGAGCTGGATGTCTTTATCGGAGAACAGAAAGCCGAGGATGCTGACAGTCCTCCGGACCAGCTCTCCATCTGCGTCCCACAGGAGCTGCACGAGGCTTTCAGTCAGGCTGCCCATTCTTTTGGCCTGTGAGGAACACAAGGCTGTGCTGGGAAGCCATGAAGGGCTGCAGCGCCAACCCCACTCCGGCGGGGCAGCCCCACGTGCTGCCGCGGGGCCCAGAGCCCAAAGGCCTGTCCCGAGGGACTCGGGCAGCTGAGCGGGGAGGCAGCAGAGCTGGCAGCAGCTGTGCTCCCCAGCCCCAGCATTGCAGCGGCCAACCGCCCCTTCCTCACCGTCACGGCATCCTGGCTGAGCACCACCAGGCCCCTCAGCACTTGGCGGCGCATCTCTGGGCACTCGCTCCACAGGTGCCTTGAAAGGATCTGCAGGACGCTTTCGCCGCACTCCCTCACGTCCAGGTAGACCAGGGCCTGAAAGGCACGGAGCGGTGACGGGCTGCCCGGCCGGCAGCAGCCCGCACCCGCACAGGGCTGGGCCCAGGCAGCAGCACAGGGCGCGGCACCGTCCCGGGCAGCCCTGCCCAAAAGCAGCAGTGGCTCTGCAGAGCCCCTGGGCTCCCCGCCCTGCGCAGGCCACTCGCCCGCTCCTCTGTGCCACCCAGCCCTGGCATTCCTTGGCCTTGAGGAGCCATGAGGGAAGCGCGAGTGCTGGCAGCAGAAGGACCCAAAACACAGCTGGGGACAAGTGTCACCCCAGCAGCAAGGGGCCAAGGGCACACAGTGGAGCCCCCCCTCTGCCCCAGCTCCCTTCACTGGGCTTCCCTCGCAGATGCGGCTGCACAAGGCCAGAGAGGTGGAGGCAGCTCGGCCAGGCAGCGCTCGCCATCAGGCTCACCTCCACAAGGAACGCCATGGCAGGGAGCTCCCAGGGACACATCTCCTCGCTGAGCAGCTCCAGGAGGCAGCACACAATGCTGCAACACCAGGGGGTGCAGACAGAGCCCATCTCCCTGGCAGGAGGGAAACAAGAACTGTCATGCCTGAGCTGGCTGGGCAAACCTCTGCCGGGACTCACTCCCAGAGGCCTGGTCTTTCCCCAGCACCCCGGCAGGGGACCAGGGCACTCTGGCAGGCGGCTCCTCCTGTGCACCCGCCTCTCCCAGCCTTTGCCACTCTGCTCGGCCATCCCTGGGTGACAAGGCCCTCCGGCCCATGACCACGGGCACTGCGTGGGGTGTCCCGTGCAGAGGGCAGAAATGACAGGGGCAGCGGGGACAAGGGGGTCTCACCTGGCCAGCAGACCCACTGCGTAGTGGTGGGTGTCGGCGTTGAGGAGCGTGTCCCAGCCACACTTGCGCTCCAGTGCCACCACCACGCTCTCGCAGCGCAGACGGTGCAGCAGGGCTTTGAGGGTCAGCACTGCAAACCTGCGTGCAGAGCAAAGCCCAGGTCATGCTGGGAGCCCTGGCCAGCCCCGAAGGTGTGGCAGGGACAGGAGGAGGGGGATGGAGCACCTGTTGGGCTTGGTGGGAAGGCTGCGTTGCTTCCGGCACTCCCTCCACAGGGTGTCAACCTCCTCCGGCATCTGCACTGTGCTGAAGAACACTTGGAAGAGCAGATGCACAAAGAGGTTGGGGAAACACTCCCTCACTGCCCGTGTGCAGCAGAGCAGATGGAGGATCTTCCAGAGTGCCACGGTTGCCTGCAAAAAGGAAACCAGCCGGAGACAGCTCTCAGTGCCCAGACATCCATGGGGCAGGGCCCGAGCGTGGCAGGGAGAGGCCAGGGGAGACACAGCAGGAGCAGCCGGCCTGGTGCCCCTGAACCTGCCCCTAAGCCAGCTTGCCAGCCCAGTGCCTGAGGCAGGGAGATGCAGCGCTGGGGGAGGATGAAGAGCTGCCGGGGAGGTGACGTGGCGCTGAGCAAAGGCCGGTTCCAGAAACTCACAGCCAGGGCAAAGACTTCCGTTTCATCCCCATCAGAGGTGCGCATGCTGCAGGCTGGCCAGCTTCCCAGGACGAGGGCAAGGATCGTCAGCACCGACTCTGCAGTAGTTCTCAAGGAGATGATTGCTCTCCACATGCTCACAGCAGCTCTGGGGGGTCAAAGCTCTGTGTCAGCGGGCTCTCAGCCACAGTGCCATGGCCTGGGCACTTCCCGCTCCCAGCTGACAGAGCCACAGCACCCTGAGGAGCAAGGAGGGCACATGGGAGCAGGATCCGTGGCTGGCATGCCAGAGGCTCCGGGAACTCTTGGCCTGACAGACACCTGGGACGGGCTCTACAGGATGATGGGCTGGTGAGCCCTGGAGGCAGAGGGGCCCCATACCTGTCACAGCATGGGGCAGAGCGCAGCAGAGTCACCACCACATCCACGGGGTGTGCCTCGACCAGAGCCAGAAGAGTCCTGTCTAGTCTGCGCTCAGCACACACATTGGCCGTGAGCCACCGGTGGATGTACCTGACGAAGGCTGGCACCTGCAGGGGGCACGGGGCAGACTTGGAGAGCTGCCAGAGCCAGCAACTTGCCCGGCTTCCCCCGACAAGCGCTTCCCTTCCCACCACTCTGGACTGGCCTCAAAGGCTGAGGGGGCCCAGCGGAGCCGGCGTGAGGGCCCGCACAATCCCTGCAGGGCTGGAGCCCTGGCCACAGGCCGCTTACTTTCTCGGCACTGGAGACACCATTCTCCACAAGCAAATCCAGCAGGGCAGCGCTGGTCTCGGCATTGCAGAGGTCAGAGTTTGCCATGCCCCCAGCGCCCATGGCGATGGTCTCTTCCCTCCAAATGCACCTGGTGAATTGGCAAACCATCTGCAGGAGAAAGGCAGGAAGAGAGGGATGTGCCCTGGAGAGCTCCGACAGCGGTGCCAGGCTGAGCAGGGACAGCAGGCCCAGCCCAGGAGGCCGTGGCTGCAGGTACCTGTGCTGCCCTGCGGAAGCGGCCCCGGGCGCGGTCCTGCTCCTGTGTCCGGTCCCGGCCTGGATCTGGCAAAGAGCGAGCGCGGTCAGAGCTGAGGGGCTGCGGGACAGGCCGCAGAACACGGCCCAGCCCTGCGCTCCACAGGCAGGGCCAGCCCCGGCATGCCCCGGCATGCATGGAGCTGCCGGGGGATCAACCCCGAGCCCTCCTTCCCCCTCCCTTTCCTTGGCCCTGTCCACAAGGGATGGGATGGCAAGAGGCCCATCTGGCTGCAGCCACCAGCCCTGGGGCCCAGCTCTGCCACTCACCCTCCTGCAGGGGCTGGGGCTGCTCCGCCTCCTCAGGCTGCTGGGATGGGGCAGCTCCAGGGCCTTCCTCCTCCCCCTCCTTCAGCCAGGCCAGCTTGGGCACCCTGGGGGGTCTCTGCTCTGTGTCTCTCTCTGGCTTCATGGCTTCCTGCAGGAGAGATGGCACGGAAAAGCTCTGGCTCACCAAGTCCTGCACAAGTGCCTTGAAGGCACCTGCAACACAGCAGGTTTGGGAACGCTCCGGCTCATCAAGTCCCAAAGTCTGGCCTGGAGGGGCCAGGGGGGAGTTGGAGAGTTGCCAGAGGGAGCAATTTTCCCAGTTGCCCCCGAGAAGTGCTTCCCTTCCCACCACACTCTGCTGGCCTCAAAGGCTGAGGGGGCCCAGCAGACCTGGCTTGAGGGGCCACACAGTCCCTACCCACAGGCAGCAGGTGCTCTCTGTCCTGGCATCTGAGCGGACCAGCTCAGCCCATCTGCCCTGCGAGGCTTTCTGAGGTGACCAGGGCAGCACAAAATTTGTGGGATATTTATACTGCATGGAGAAGCTCCTTTCCGCTGAGCCCACCTTAGCCCAGCTGAGCCAAGCTCAGCCTAGCTGCTTTGCAAGCTCCAATCAGCTGATCATTGGGTGGAGCTGAGGTCTACTGTGTGAGATTTAAACTGCAGGGAGAAAGTGCTCCCAGCTCAGCCCAACTGCCTTTCAAGGTCTTCTCAGTTCATCAGGGGATGGTGTTCGGGTCGGTTTTGGGTGATATAAACTGGTCCAGGGAGTGCAAGCCACCACAAGTCTTGCAAACAGGGGTGTGGCTCTTCAGTGAGGGCATGGCAGGGCAGTTTGGACAGCAGGTTGCCCTGGCAGGGTGAGGAGGAAGGGCACAGCCACTCTCCCAGCTCTCTTTGGTGATCTGTGAGGTAGGTCTGTGGTTCTCTGTTTTTGTGGAGTTGGGCTGATAATTTCCGCACAGGGCTCCAAAATCTGAATGACATCAGTTCCACATTGGAAAGAAAGCTCTTACCCTACATCTCTCATGTGCAGTTGGTGGGCCACTCTTGGTACTCCAGGGGCAGCAAGAGCTTTCTGTTCCGATGCCTTTGGTCTGGGAGGAATCTTCGTATGGAATTTTGGGAGTTGGGCTGGCAGTTGTAGGGCAGGGCTGGAAAAAGCAAACAACAGCCCTTATCCCCAGCAAAAAAAGCCTGGTAGCTTTGGTTTTCTGGTGCAGTTGGTGGGCCCCCCTATGCACTCCATGGTCAGAAAGAGTTTTCTGGTGTGGAACCTTTTGTCTGGGAGAAGTCTTCGTCCATATGGAATTTTGGGTGTGGGACTGGCAGTTGCAGGGCAGGGCTGAAAAAAGCAAACAGCCTTTCTCCAGGGTTCCTTTGGGAAATGCTGTGTTTAACTGCTGAGAAGAGGGTTTGTTTCGTGTGGTCTTACGTATGGTTTCTGTTTGCTAGTTTCTTTTTCTTAGCTTAAGTTAGAAATGGGGGCAGCTCCAAGTTTGGAAGTCTCTTTTCCAGGTTAACGCAGTCCTGCGGAAAGAGCAGGGCCCGAAAGTGAACAATTTACCAACACCATGAACAAGTTTTTACTAAATGTGTAGGAAAACCAGCAATTTACTTTCTTGATTGAGTCTTTATTTGTTGTCTTTGCCACTACCTTACAGATGTTCCCCAGAAGAGCAGCACTGCTCGTTGCTCAACAAGTGCCATTGGAGGAGGTCTGGAAAAGCCAGTGGAAACTGTAGGAACTGCACGTGCTGTGCTCGTTTTCAGGTCAGGTTTGCATGGAAATGGGGCTTTCTGAAATACTGGAAATGCTGGGGGCAACTTACAGTGCCTTTGTTAGCTGTGTTCAGCGACTCAACTGATTAGAATTGTAGCTAATCAAATTTTTAAATAATTTGGAGATCTAGTGTCTGCTGCACCCTGATAGGGGAGAGAATAGAGCTGTGTGTGGTTGGGAATAAGTTATTAATGAAATGATTACAGAAACAGTGTTTTAGTTCTGCTTTGTACCTCATGAAAGCTGTTAGCTTCTGTAAGGCAGGAGGAGGAGGAAAGGGATGTTTTCATTAGTGGCTGCCAGCATCACAAAGGACTCCTTGGGTATTGCAAATCAGAACATCTGTATTGCAGCAGAGATAAGGGGTGGTAAAGGTCAAACAAGTCTGCTCTGTGCTTTTCTAGATATTGCACTATGTTATGAATAAATTAGGGTAGCAGCATCTGTTTGCCATATATGTAAACTGCTAAATAAATTCCTTGAAGATAAGAAAAAAGTGCTTCTGCTTTGGGTGTAAAAACACCTTTTTTTCTAGGTGTCGATACCATAAATAAAAAAAAGTGAACAATAACTCACACAAACATTTTAACAGTTTTAAGTAGGCATCTGGGAGCACTTTTGGTATATAAGCTTACTTCTGTGTCCATAAACACAATGCTAAAACAGCCTGACCTCAGTCTGGGTTAGTGGGAAATGATGGTATAACTGAAATTTTCGTTCATTCTATCAGGTACAACATAAGAGAGAGTTTTATCCCTTACCTAGTCCTGATGGACTACTTGTGAATGGTAAGAGCATTTAACAGAACTGTGAGTTGGATATGGTTAATCATTAGAATAGAACTAAGCATTTATTATTTTCATTTATTCATAGAATATTGATAAGACAATGTGTTTAAGGCTTGGGATTTATCTTTCCTGTGGCACTAGTAGTTCCCAGGGCAGGCCATGAAACTCCTTTTCCCTGTGAAAGTCACTGCTTCAAAAACTTTCTCTTGTTCTTTATGGTTACTGAAGATCAAATGATTGGATAATGATAGATTATCTCGGCAGAATTCTGATAAATTCTGCTGGACAGGGTTTTCAAAGGATAAGTGTTCCATAGTGGTTGTTACTCTGTCTTTTCCTATACTTTTTCACACTATAAAAATATATACAAACTGATAAACCTTAACTTAATAACTTCCAACCAACCCTGACTATATGGACTGATCTTTTCCTTTGTTCTCCCTCTATGGAATCTCAATCAGTTGTGACTCCTGAGCTTTGCAAATTCAGGTGTTATGGCTTGGCCAGACTGATCAAAACATGGATTTATGGGGAAAAAAAAATATGTTTTTTTAATTGCTGTTGTCAGGCTACATTTTTTGTACATTTCTCAGATTTGGCTTTCTTTTTAGGCCAGTGACCTTTTCAAGGCTTTTCAGAGAAAGGGTCCATGAGCACTGGAAACAATTACTTATTCACCAACAGCATTAGCAGCAATTTTATTCAAGAGAAATATCTGTGTTACGGCTGGAGAGCAGAATTTTGTGTGTGTTTTAAGGTTATTGCCATGATAATTAACAAGACTGCTTCAATTTTATCCTTTCTTGTACTTCTATACTGTAATGCTTTGCCACTAAAAGGAATGACTGTGGTCAGTAAATTTGTTTCAACCTGAGATTAGCACATTAGATAGAAGTAAAATCCTTCCACACTGTAACTGAATGAATAAATTCAATTTTTAAATTTGGCAAAATAGTTCTGCATTGAGCAATATCTATTTTGTTCTGTAATCACTTAGTAGAATGTTTGACTTTGCAGAGGATTCATTGTCAAGTAGCCTATCCTGGAAATGTGACCTCTTTTTCTTGCAGTCACTTTGGTGTTCCCTTAGCGAAATAATGAAATTTCAGCCCTAAAATATCTTGTCTTTATGTGTGTCCCTTTAATACATGCCACGAATATCATCATGAGCCAATGTGAACTTTGAAAAAATGGCACATCATTTATATCTCTTACTTGATATGTATACACATGTATACATATGTATACTTTAATGTATACACAGTGGTTGTGGCATGTTTTGAGAGCCATTTGCTCTCTATCTCTGATAGAGATTTCTTGATTGAGCAGCTGATATCTACATACAGAATATATATGTGTTGGTAGGGCAGCAGGAGGGTTGATGAGAGGAATATGACTCATGTTTTTTATTGCTGATAATAGGTGTGTGGGGGCTCTTTAGTCAAGGGATATGCAGAAAAGGTAGATGAGAGTTGCCTGATATTTCTGAAAGCAATAAGGAAAAAGAAAACCCTCCAGGGTAGTTATTGTGCTAGAGGGAAAAGGAAGCTGAGAAAAGCATGTTTCCTGCTCATTTTCAGCTGCAGTTGTATTTAAAACACAGGTATTTTTTTGTTTTTTCACTAGTTTGTTTCTAAAGATTTTCATAGTGGCAGATGAGGACTTGAAAGGTTGAGAATTAGGTGTCTTCTATATGGAGACACGAGATTAAAACTGGTTTCTCAGTACCAATGTGTAGTTGGTCCTAAGATGTTTTGAAACCCCCTGTTGACAGAGCTGTGATCTGGTTTTTTGACAATACAAGCTAGGCAAGATCTTAACCCAAGATTCTGATCTATACACAGCATACAGAAGGACACCTTACCTCCGTTTTTGCCAATAGTCAGCAGCTTCAGGGGACATTGAAAAAGAAAGCAGTGAATGGAATGTCCTGTCTGAGCTGTCAGCAGTGAGAATTTGACAGATGAGATCACTGGTTCTTTTATAACGTGAAAAACAACAAGAATTTAGATAAAGCTTCCACTTCAGTGCTGACGGCCCAAATCTGGTTGTGGTTACTGTTATGTTTCCATTCAGCTTCTCAGATGAATGACTGCACGTGTGCCATATGTTTTCTTTTTCCACTCTAAATATATAAGAAAGCACAAAAATGTAGGATGCTGTCAGAGACAAATAGGATACACAGAATGGGCCAAATGAGGAGTTTTGGCATTTGACCACTTAGGGTGTGTTTGGAATGTAGCTGTCAGTTCAGAGCTGGCTTACTGTTAAACTGTAAAACATGGTATTGGGCCACGTTTCCAACCTGTCATATAGAAGAGTTTGGGTTGGAGGAGACCTCAAAGATCACCTTGTTCCCACTCCCCTGCCAGGGGCAGGGACACCTTGCACTGGACCAGGCTGCTCAAAGCCCCATCCAACTTGGCTTTGAACACTTCCAGGGATGGGGCATTCACAGCTTCTCTGGGCAACCTGTGCCAGTGCCCCACCACCCTCAGAGGGAAGAATGTCCTCCTAATATCTAGTTTAAACTTACCCTCTTTCAGCTCAAGGCTGTTGCCTCTTTTCCTGTCATTACATGTTCTTGTAAAAAGTCCCTTCCCATCTTTCCTGGAGGCTCCCTGTAAGTTCTGGCAGGCTGCTCTAGGGTCTCCACAGAGCCTTCTCTTCTCCAGGCTGAACAACCCCAGCTCTCTCAGCCTGTCCTCATACAGGAGGTGCTCCTGCCCCCTGATCACCTTCCTGACTTAAAATTTCACAGCATCAAAAGAGC